GTGGTTCGTAGCGCCCTGGTGGCGGGATGGCGCCGCTCGTCGGTAGGCTCTTTACGGATAGGCGTGGGCTGCTTTAATCCCGAGCATTGCGAGAAGCAAGTTCTGGCCGAGGAGGGGCCGGCCTGCCCTCAGTCAAAGGAGAAGAATTGCCCCAGCAAACTGCTTATGCACGATGCCTTGTCCGCCTCTGCCATCCCTGCCACCACGCGGAGCGTCTCCACCGACCACCTCTCCATCACGTCTCGTGGCTCGTAGAGCTTAAAGCACCAGGTCAGCCGGCGAAGTCGCTCGGAGCTGCTGCCATCGGTTGAGACTCCTGTGGCGTCAAGGGCAGTGACGATCGTCTGGGTGGGGCACTCGCGAAGTCGCTGCTGGAAGGTCATCCGTGTTGTTAGCGTAGGTCGACGCGGCTCCACTGGCGGGGGGCGGATCACTCGGGGCCGCCGGATCGGCGTCTCTGGATGAGCGACCGCCAGGTTGGAGAGGAGGAAGGTTGGCAGATCCTCCTCGTCGACCGAGCACACCGAGGTCGGCGAGGAGGCTCCGAGCGACGAGCACTCACTGCTGCTGCACCGCGACATGCCGCTGCGTATTCTCACTTGCATGCTGTTTGTGGACTGTGCTGCTCGTCGTTTGATGCCGACGGCATCAAGCCAGCCAGCCAGCTGAAGTCCGTTTTGTTTTTATTCTTTTTCGAGTGTCGAGCCTGTGTCCTGTGAGAGAGAGTTGTTTTGTTTAAATTCTTTTTCGAGAGAGGTATTGAATGCTTTTCCCCCTTTCTTCGTTGAATTATTCCTCCCTTCCTTACGGCAACACTGAACCGTCGCGGGCTACATCGCGGAAGCGACTGGCCTTGAGTTGACGTGAGTGAGACATCGCGGACCTGATGCTGCCACAGTTAGTTAGTTGGTATACAAGCCGGCAGAGGCCGCCTCCTCGCCGGCCGACGTCCAAGACCCGTTCCTCAGATTTTTGCAGTCGCGCTTGCGTGACACGCGTAATCTGTTCGCGCACGTTGCGACCCGGCAGCGCACGCGCGGATCTTTCCAGCCGGGCAAGGAGGCCACCGAGGAGCCTGCACGCACCGAGAGGCTCCTCTCGCGACCGCTCGCCCTGCTACGTGCACGCGATTCGGACGCGCTGGATCAGCTCCAGCCCCTTCTCGGCGACGGCCGCGGCAACCGCCTTGCCTACGTCTCGTACAACATCCTCACCCTGACGGTCAATATTACGCTAGGAATCATCGCCGGGGCAGTCTAAAGATATAAGGGCCTCGCGTTGTCCGCCGTTTATCCCCGTGACCTGCGCAATTCGTGATACCGAGGAGTCTCGAGCTTCAGCTGGTCCTACCATCATGCCGCTCTCGGAACCGCAGCGGCGCGAGCGCCGCGCCGCGCAGCGCGCTGCCGAGGCTCAGGACGCGGCTCGCGGGCAGCGCAACCGCCCGGCGCCGAGCCGGTGCTAGGCCGCCTCCGCTGCGCCTGCTTCCTTGCGCGCCGCTGGACGTCGGCCGAGAAGACCGCTTCCCTCTGGGGACCCGACTCCGCGAAGATCGCGCGCGCGTCGTGAGTGGCGGCGCGCGCGCGATCTCCGTTCCCGGCCACGCCGGTCGCAGTGGCATGGGCTCCCAGGCTCAAAAGCGCTCCCGTCAACAGCGAGCGAGCGCCGCCGCTGCTCCTCCTCCCGCCGCCGCTCCGCTCACCGAGACAAACTCGGTGCCGCCGTTCTTGCCGCCGCCGCCACCGCCGCCGCCTCGCCCCTCGCCTCCGTCACCGCCGCCCTCCATCTCGCGGCGGCGTCCCTCTGATGGCGCGGGCGCCTCGCTCACGGGCGCCTCGCCGCCCCCCCCCCCCTTCTCGCGCCGCTCCGCTCGAGCGTGGCCGCCGCCTCCCCTGTCAATCCCGCCGCCTCCCCTGTCATCCCGCCGCCCGCACCACCGCCGCCACCGCCTCGCGCCTCGCCGCCGCCGCCACCGACCGCCCTCTCCCCTACGCCGCTGAGCGCGCCGCGGTGCAGGGGGCGAGCCCCCGCTGCGCAGCCTCACCGCAGTGCACTGCGCTCTCCGCGCCCCTGACGATTAGTTGGTGTTGCACAGCATGGAGCTCGGCGAGCGTTTAGCGAGCCCCTCAGCTAGTTACAGATAAGACCGACGTTGCCCGAGCGACCATCGCGATCAAGATCAGCTTTGCGGCATGGCTGATTCTTCTCTCGCCGATGAAGGACCGGCTTACGTGCTGGGTAAACGCGATCCAGTTTCTTTTGGAGGGCATCGCTGCCTCGATAGCGCTCAGCGAGACTGCCTCCGCCGCCGCAAGCGCCCATTGCGCCGCTTCCAGCCAGGCGGGGCCAGCCTTCTACACCGGGATCGCGGCCGTACTTGTCCCGATCCTGCTGCTGCTGTACGACTCGCTGTGTTTGTCAAGGTCTACCTCATCTTCCAAGGGGACAAAGAAGGTGACGCTCGGACGCGCAGTGGTCCATCATCATCTTTGGCACTTTCCTCAAGTTGGTCAAGGGGGTGAGGGGCCTCCCGTCATCCCGACGACACCTCCCCGGAACCCTAGCCCTCACGACATCCTCCCCGGCCCTTGCCCTCACGGCGACCTCCCCCGACCGGTCCAACATTCTCACGTGCAATCCAAACCACTCTGGCGTCCTGTCACGCAGGTGCTGGTGGTCATGGGCGCAGAGCCTCTGTGGCCTAAACGGCTCGACCGGATCATGAACACCTCCAAGCAGCTCGCCGGTACGGGTTTGGTGGTTCACGCCGACCTGAAGACCTTCACCAAGAAGAGCGTCACCCCTCGGCTTGCCTTTGCCTTTCGCCGTCGTAGAAGCGGCGAGCAATCTGGGACTGTCAGCGACGTGCCTGAGAACGACTCTGGCGAGATCGAGCGGACCCCGCGTGCGGCCTCGCCGGAGTCTTCAACCGAGATCAGCCTCCGCCTCTGACGAGGTGACGTCGGAGCGTGAGAGACGCTCCTTCGCTCGGCAATCACGACTCTAGTCTCTACACGTACGCTCGGGGCGCAGCCTCGCCAGCGGGATGCGCCCATCGCTGCCCAGCCCCGCGAGGAGCCTGCTGCGTGGCCCGCTCCACTGACCACTCGCACATGACCTGCGGCTGCGCGCAGTGCGGCGTTGCACACGCTCTCCAGTCTCCACCGGCGGTGCCGCACCGGCACCGCGGCACCGGATGTCAAAATATGTGAATCTGACTGTAAGATCGACTTTTCCTACGAATTCCTACGACCGAGGTGTCGATCGTACCGTACACGCGCGTGTGGAAGTGGCGTGCTGTATTGTACACGCACATCCTTCCCGCAAAGCTTCTCAGCCTCGCACGAGAGCTTCTCAGCCGACCATGCCCTTCACGCTTGCCTCGTACGGGTTCTCGTCGTAGCCGGGCCCATTCTCGAAGTCGGTCACGAGGTGCGGCTCCTAAGAGGGGCACCGCGCGGAAGTGAGATGTGGGTCCTGACGCGCGCCGACTCCGGCCGCGAGGGGAGCGGTGCCGCATGCCCGTACATTTGCTCCTACGGGATCAACGCGATCTATCCCTTGCGCAGCTCCGAGTTCCAACTCAGTCCCTCGGCGGCATCCTGAGAGAGACGGGGGGCAGAGTGGGTGAGAGCTGTGGCGGGGACCGCGGGTGTGTCGCTGCGAGACTGCGGGTGGCTGGACAGCCGGAGGCCGTGGGAGGGAAGCGATGGGCGGGTCCGCTTGAGCTTTTCACCACACACTCGATGGGCAGACCTGGTGGTGCTCGAGTTGAAGGACGACGGGGTCGCTATTGGCGCGGCCTGTGCCCGTCGTCCCAATCTCGCAGCACGGTGGCGCCCGGAGGGCCCAGGGGACACCACTCGCGCTGTTGACAAAGGAGAGGCCCCAGGTGGTGCAAGGCATGCACGCGGGAGGCGTGCGCTGCGTGAGCGTCCTCTTCCAGCACTCGATGTCTGTGCAAAACTCGATGGTCGAGGCGGACTCGGGAAAGGTCGCGCTCGCGCAGGCGGGGTTGCGCGCGATCATTACCGGCGTGACGCACGGCATCGGCCCCGACGTGGGCATGGAGCTGCCACCACCACCAAACCGTCGGCCTGGCGGCGGCGGCGGCGCCGGAGGAGGAGCGGTGTATCGTTCGGTGCATCCGTTGGTGTGGTAGTTGTTGTGGCAGAAGACCATCTGCTCGGACTCGGGCTCGGAGGTGCACGGACGGATGTGCCAGTTGTTGTGGCAGAAGTGCATTTGCTTTGCGGCGGCGAGCGCCTGCCGCAGCTCGTCGACCGCACGCGGCGTGTGGAGAGTGAGGAGGAAGAGGCAGAGAAGGCCAAAAACCGTGCGGGTTGCACGCAGCCGGTTGTTGCGGCGCTGTGGTGCGTTCGCCTCAATCATCTGGGAAGAGAGGAGCTCAACTCAACAACAGAATGCAGGGGAGGGGATTGCCGTCGGCCTGATAAAAGAATTTTGCGAAGAAGGAGTTCGCACGACCTTCCTCAGAAGCCGTCGCCCGCACCCACACCACCATTCCCACTCGTGATAAAAGAATTTTACAACAAAACTCCCTCGCACAACACTGGGCACGGGACTGGCGCGCACTATTTTCGCTACGTCGGCGAGAGCCACCACGCGCCCAAGACCCTCGCGTGAGCCGACTCCTGTGCGAGGAGGCGGCCCGGTCTCTTCCTTGACGTGAGCAAAGGCGAATGCAGCTACGCTGTGCGAGGATGAGGTGCAGGGGCGAGGGGGTCGGGGGGGGGGGGGGGCTCTCGGTCGGCGAGGCCCGTCCGCGCCGCCAGCTGACAGCGAGGGTGGTCTCGATGCATGTCTACGGTGTCGCGGGAGAGCCTGGCTGACTGCTGTCCTGGCTCCAGCGCGCGGAGAGAATGGCTAGCCACACGGATACCGACTTAGGAGTGGGTCCCCGCGAGCTCTCTCGTATCTCGGATCCTCGGATGATCCCGAACCCCTCTGAGCTCTGACCTCTGTCGCTGCGGGGACCTCCGTCTATTTACAGTTACAAAAGAGTCACAAGACTTGCTTTTGTAACGGAATGAATAAAGTATGGGCGTCATCCCGCGGGAGGCTCCCAGACACAGTCCTCCGGCTGTGGGAAGCCCCTCGCCGCGAGGCCCAGCAGGTAGCTAAAGGCGGCCCAGTCGATGTCGCCCTTGAGCGGGCTAGGCGGCGGGTGGTCGGGGGGGAAGAAGAGCCATCCCGGCACCGTTGGCGCGCAGAGGCACGGGAAGAGGAAGCAGGCGCGCATCCACACAAAGCCGAGTAGGATCGTGCCCGTGGTGAGGACCTGGATGCAGCGGACGAGCGGGCCGGTGTGCGGCGGGCAGACCGCCTGGCCGGCGAAGCAGTACGAGTAGCCCTGGAAGAAGGCGCAGTAGATCAGCCACAGGGTGGGAACGATCCAGAGGTACAGGAAGGTGAGCTTCCACTTCATCATCACACCCATCAGGAACATGAAGAGCCAGAGGGTCCACAGGTAGAGGAACATGGCGGAGCGGCACTCGAGCGCCGCGCGCTTCCCCAGCACCATCACCGTCGTCGCTTTTTGCGTGTCCGCCTTGAGGCAGAGGAGGAACATTGCAAAGTCGAGCCCATACTGCGAGATGTTCTTGAAGACGATGTCGAAGAGCACGTACAGCTTGGCGATGTTCTCGAGCGAGAACTCGAAGTACATTTGGACAGCGATCGGGCAGAGGAAGGGCAGGTAGGCCGGGATGATCACGGTCCAGATCTCGGTGAGGATCGTCCAGTAGGCGAGAGTGCAGTAGGCGTACGTGCCAGCCTCGGGGCGGCTCGCCAGCGAGCGCAGCATCACGCGCAGCTGGTACAGGCCCGCGTAGTAGTTCTCCGTCAGCTTGTTGCCGTTGGAGACGAACGCGACGACGTAAAAGGGGAAGACCTGGCGACAGGTGGCCTGGTCAGGGGCGGGGGCGGGGGCGGGGCCGGGGCCGGGGCCGGGGCCGGGGGTGGGGGCGGGGGCGAGGGTGGGGCCGGGGGCGGGGGCGGGGGCGGCGCCGTGAAGATGAGGAACATGCAGATGCGCGTCGAGAGCGGCGTCGGGTGCGTGGCGTAGTCGACCCAGAAGGTGATCTTGTCGGGCACCTTTGCGATGAAGTCCTTGACGATAAGCCCCTCGAGCAGGCCCCAGAGGAAGATGCAGAGGACGGTCATCCAGAGGGTCGCGATCGCCTGCACGTTGGAGAAGTAGAAGAACCAGCTGGCAGAGGGAGGGAGGCGAGACGGTGAGCTCGAGATGGCGAGACGGTGAGCTCGAGATGGCGAGTCGGTGGCCGGAGAGGAGAGGAGAGGCGAGGCGAGGCGAGGCGAGGAAACGGCACAAATCGCGGGCGAGGACGGGCGAGGAGAGCAGGCGAGGAGAGGCGAGGCGAGGCGAGAGCGGCCGGCTCACCACTGCTGCGTCACCGGCCACGAGCATCGACAGCCGAGCCAGGGCACCCACACGTCTGAGCGCGGCTGGGCCAGCCACGGGACCATCGTCGGGCGCGGCGCGTTCTTCTGCGTCGCGTCGTCGCCTTCGTCCCAGAGAGCGAAGAAGGGCAGCGCCTGAGGTGCCTCCCCGGCTGCATGGCCCGTGATGTTGATGAGCGCCCAGTCGGTGCCCCAGCGGCTGATCGAGAGCCAGAGACCGTACTGCGAGGGGCGGGTCTGGGGTCAAAGGAGGGAGCTAGGCGTGCTTGGCGCGACTCTACTGCTGAGTGATTGCACCGCAAGGAGGGCAGCTAGGCGTGCTTGGCGCGACTCTACTGCTGAGTGATTGCACCGCAAGGAGGGCAGCTAGGCGTGCTTGGCGCGACTCTACTTGCACCTGCGGGAACTCTGACACATTGAAGGTAGTGTACAGGTCCTTGTGCTCCTTGACGAACGCCTGTGCCTCGCTGGAAAGGAGCATGTTGGGAAGCATCTCAGACGACGTCGGCGGCGCATAGCCGGCACCAAGACCGCCAATCAGCCACGGCGTGGCGCCAGGAGAGAACTGCGCCTGCTCCATGCCCAGCAGCCGCTCCATCTCTTCGGCGACCTTGTCCGCGTCGAAGGTGGGTGCAGTGGTCATCGTCGATGGCAGCAACGAAGGGTCGGTCAAGGTGGCAGCAAGCCGTATGTCGAGAGCGGCTTTGCGTAACGCCTCCAGCTCAGTCTTGGCGGCGTCGAGCTCCGTCTTGGCTCTCTCGTAACTGCTCTCGTATGCCGACCCCGCCTCCTCTTTGGAGTCCTGGTACGTCGGAGGAAGCTCCAAGGCCATCGACGCAGCTGGCTGGCTTGTGGTGAAGGTGGTGAAATGCGGCTGGGGGCAGCTTCCAGTCCTTGCGAGGCTGGTTGAGCCCGCGGCCTTCGTCCCGTCGGCCCCGCTGTCTTTGACCGCAAAATCGCGAAATTCTTTTTGTGCTAGAATAAAAGAAGAGACTCGCGCATGCACAGATGCACTCGGAGAGTGAGCTGTGAGACAGACCAACCTCTCACCGACGCGTACCAACCGGCCAGGTCGTTTTCTCATTGCACTCGCCTCACTCGGCGCCTCAGCACACCACCATCACCCTTGGCTTAATAAAAATCTCTCTCCCTTGGCAGCACAAAGCCGCGCCACACGTCAGCCAGCTCTGGAGCCGCTCCCTCGCGGCCCTCGAAGCGCTCTCGTCCCACGCGATCGGACTGTCGAAAAAAAATAGTTTGCACTCGCCGATGGCCTCCCACCGCAGCACCCGCCTGTCTGGCCTCTCGCCAGAGCAGCTCGTCGCCTTCATCGACGAGCAGGCGCCTCTCTGGAGCGCCGCCGCAATGCGCGTGGCGGAGGAGCACGCCGCACGGCTCGTGGAGCAGCCTGAGTGGGTGCTCTCCGAGGTCCTCCTCTCGCCGGACCTCGCCCCGCACATCCTCGCCCAGCTGCCGACCACGGAGCACGCCGTCAAGGGGACGTGCCGCGCGTGGCGCCGCGGCTGGAAGGAGACGCTGAAGAAGCGCAAGAGGCCGCGCCTGGTCGTGATCGGCGGCCACGACAGCGATGGCGAGTTTGTCAACTCGCTGGAGCGGTACGACCCGTCAACGAATGAGTGGGAGGAGAGGGAGGCTGTGGCGCCGATGCCGACGGCACGAAAGTATGTCGGCACGGCGGTGCTCGATGGCAAGCTCTACGCGCCGGGGGGCGAGAGTGAGGCTGACAGCGCAACTTCCAGCTCGGTGGAGCGGTACGACTTTGCTACGAAGTCGTGGGAGGCGGTGGCGCCGATGGCGACGGTACGCGAGCATCACGCCGTGGCAGTGCTCGACGGCAAGCTGTACGCTGTGGGCGGGTATAGCGACGTCGTCGGCCGCCTCAGCTCGGTCGAGCGGTACGACCCGGCGACGAACGCGTGGGAGGCTGTGGCGCCGATAGCGGTGTCGCGGGCTGCTGTTGGCGTGGCGGTGCTCGACGGCAAGCTGTATGCTGTGGGCGGCCTCGACGAGGACGATGTCCCCCTCAGCTCGGTCGAGCGGTACGACCCCGCGACGAACGCATGGGAGGCGGTGGCGCCGATGGCGGAGGTGCGGTGGGGTCTCGCCGTGACGGTGCTCGACGGCAAGCTGTACGCTGTTGGCGGGTACGGCGGCGGCCGCCTCAGCTCGGTCGAGCGGTACGACCCTGCGTTGGATGCGTGGGAGCCGGTGGCGCCGATGGCGGCGGCTCGCGCAAACCTCGCAGCTGCGGTACTCGATGGCAAGTTGTACGTAATGGGCGGCAACGACGAGAACGAGACCCTCAGCTCGCTTGAGCGATACGATCCCGCGACGAACGCGTGGGAGGCGGCTGCGCCGTTGACGACTGCACGATCTTTTCATGGCATCACCGTGGCGTAGGGTTGGCTCTGGAGGGTGGAGGGCGGAGAGGAAAGCAAGGACTTGATCGAACCCCGCATACGTTATCCATAGAAGCACTATATAATCTTGGAAGGGTAAGCGGAAAAAGAAAATTTAAAGAAAAAAGTAAATTTCCGAAAAAAGCCGCTGACGCGCAACACACAACTCTCTCTCTCACGCGCCATTCCCTCTCTCGCGCGGCTGGACCATGTTGACGGAGGGGACGGGGAGGGCGACAGCGACGTCGAGGGGTTGACGCACCACCGTACGGCTCTATGTTTAGACTCTATCCTGAGGGCGCCAGGCCGCCACCCAAAAGGAGGCCGACAGCTATGGAAGTCACCGAATGGAGGGCGAACGGCATGATACGAAAGGCAGGGCAAGGCGGATGGAGAAAGAAGTGCCGAGAAGGCGATGGTGGAGGGGAGGGACGGGAGGACGAAAGAAGGGCGAGGAGAACGAGCGGCCCGCACAGGCCGCGAGCAGACAGCGCCTGCTGGCCATTTCGAGACATTCGCAAAGAACGCTAGCTACATGGGAGGGCTTCGTGAAGGATGGATTGAAAAACACGGAGCACAGAGTGCAACAGACAGGACGGCGGCGACAGCGGACATGGCAGAGACGAGTGTGAGACAAAGGGCGGCGGGGATGGAGGGCGGTAGCGACGGGGATGGTGACGGTGACAGTGGCGAGGGAGAGGAAGGGGGTCCATTAACACCAGACAGCGAGAGGGGCGGGGAGGAAAGGGGGAGAGAGGAAGCCAACGGCGATGCCACCAGCAGCAAGGGACACGATGAACAGGTAGACAACGGCCAAGACGATGGCGAGGACGAGGAGACGCGGGACGATGGCAGGCGAGACGAGGAGGACGGAGGCGAGGGAAGAGGCAGCGCCGCAGTCGACAGAGGCGACAACGATGGAGAAGGGAAGGGAGCGACAACGCGCACAGAGGATGAGGATATAAACGCTTCCAGTGCGGAGTATGAGGAGTGGTATCAGCGCCGCCGCGCGAGCCTGACGCTGCCGCCTTCGCTCGGAGCTGAGGTGCGCGCACGTTTACGCCAGGATCGGCATTGTCCCTGCGGTGTCCCCGTCTCCAAACATTTACGTGTCTCCCTCACGCAGGCGTGCGGCGTCAACAACGACGTCGTTGTGAAGGAGGAGGCCGCCACCGAGGAGGCCGCCACCGAGGAGGCCGCCGCCAAGTCCGCCGCCGCCGAGGAGACCGCCGCCGAGGAGTGCGCCGCCGAGGAGACCGCCACCAAGTCCGCCGCCACCAAGTCCGCCGCCACCGAGGAGGCCGCCGCCGCCGAGGAGGCCGCCTCCGAGGAGGCCGCCGTAGAACACTCACTCACTCACTCACTCACGTGCAACAACCCCCTCGCCGAGTTCACGTCCAAGAACGAGTTCCTGCATCAGGCGCAGCGGCGCTTCACACGACGGTGGTCCACAACAGGAACTGGCGCGACCTCGCCGTGGAGTTCGCCGAGGAGGGCTCCGAGGGATCGCGGTCTGCTCCTCGTGGCAAGAATGGCAAGGCGCGTGCCGAGGGCAGGGAGCGGGCGAGGCACGCGGCTCCCGGGAGTCGGTCCGCTTCGTGGCGGCGAGCCAGGATGGCGCCGGCGCCTTCCTCAACGGAGAACCCGTGTATTAGACGACATACTTGAGCACTTGAGCACTCTAGTGCTCAAGTATGTCGTGCTCGACGACTTGAGCACTTGAGCACTGGATAGGGTCGATTCCGCATGGTACGGGACCCCTCGATCGTCTCGCCCTCCCTCACTGGTGTGTTCATTGGGTAAACTCCGGTACCGCAGGACGCCTGCCACGGCCACGCCCCTCGGGGCGAAGAAGGCGGGCAAGCGTGCCGCGGAGGCGGAGCGCAGGGCGATTGCGCTTGAGAAGGAGGTGTGGGTTGACAGGGAGTGCCGGGGTGGGCGTCGTAAGGGTGAGGGCGATTGCCGCCCTCCCCCCTTCGCCCACCTCGACGCCTTCGTGTAGGCACCCCCGCGACTGTGCCTCTTTTGGTACCGTGGCGTACCTGTAAAAAAGAAAGAAAGAAAACAGACAACCCAAGGGAGGGATGGGAGGACGGCACGCCGCCACCACACAGGGTCGAACCTGTGGGGAGCAAGAGTTCTTTTCGTTGAATTCTTACGTGCCTTTGCCTCTGCTGGTGGCTCTTCTCACGGCCGCTGCGCGACGGCGCCCAGCCCGATGTGCTATATGCTGTGCGCGATCTCGGCTGCGCTGGCGATCGCGCCGCCGTCCGCCTTCGTCGCGTGCCGTCGTCCCGCCCTCTCGCGGCACCGCTGCGCCCGCATGGCGGAGAACGCGGACGAGCTCCTCTCACCGGCGCTCTGGACGGTGCAAGGGTATTCCTCTGTGCAGGGCCTCGTCCCGGTGTGCCAGCGCCTCAACCAGAGACGCGCCGAGGCCGAGCACCTCGGCATCTCCCTTCTGGCCGACGGCTCCATCGCCTGCCGCGTCGTCGCCGCCGCGGGCGCCGACCCGCGCTCGCTGCGCGTCGGCTTTGAGGACTTTGCTGCGGCGCAGGGCGTCCGCGCCCGCGGAGGAGGCGAGGCGCCCCAGCTGGGTGAGTCGCTGCTGGCGCTGCTCCGCAAGGCGGCGGCGCAGAGGCGGCTGCTCGTCGACGAGCGCCTGTCGGCGAAGCACGTCCTGCTGGCACTGCTCGAAGACGCGAGGCGTGCGGCGCGAGAAGTTGCTCGAGCCCGTGGCCAAAGCCCACCCCCAAACTCCCGGTCCGACTCCGAAGGTGCGGGGCGAGGCTGATGCGCGAGGCCAACCTCGACCGCGCCTCCCTCACCGCCGCCATCACCCTCTTGCAAGCCGAGCACAGCCGCAGCAAAGAGCGTGGCGCAATCTCCAGCGGAGAGCGTGGCGCAGTGTCCGCGCCGCGCGCCGCCTCGGCCGCCGGCGGGGAGGCACCGGCCTCTGCCGCCGCCCCGCCCGCGGCGGCCTCGGCCCCGAGGGGAGCGCTGCAGCTCTACACGCGCGACTTGACTGCCGAGGCAGGCGCGGGGCGGCTGGCGCCGGTGATCGGCAGGGAGGCGGCGGTGCGGCGCGTGGCGGCGGTGCTCTCGCTGCGAACCAAGAACAACCCGGCTCTGCTCGGTGCGCCCGGCGCGGGCAAGGCTGCGGTAGTCGAGGGGCTGGCCCACCTCCTCGCCAACGGCGACGTGCCACAGGCGGTGAGGGGGAAGAGGCTGATCGCCGTCGACTTCGGCGCGCTGGTCGGCGGCGCGACGCGGCGCGGAGAGGTTGAGGCGCGGCTCAGGGCGCTGCTGTCGGAGGCGCAGCAGGCGGAGGGGGAAGGCGCGATCCTCTACCTCGACGAGCTTCACTCGCTGGTCGGCCCGCCTCTCGACGCCGCGCCGCTCCTCAAGGCGGCCCTCAAGGCGAGCCCGAAGCTGAGGTGCATCGGCGCGAGCACGCTCGAACAGTGCGCCGCCTCCTCGCCGCAAGCGCGACCTCTCGGAACCTTCTCGGAACCTTCTCGGAGCCTTCTCGGACGCTGCCGTGCAGGTACCGCCTCCTCGTCGAGACGGCCTCTCGGAACCTTCTCGGAACCTTCTCGGAACCTTCTCGGACGCTGCCGTGCAGGTACCGCCTCCTCGTCGAGACGGACGCCGCGCTCGAGCGGCGGTTCCAGCAGGTGCTTCTCGGCGCGGAGCAGCTGCCGGTGGAGGTGGACTTGCCGAGAGTAGCCGAGAGTTGCCGAGAGTTGCCGAGAGTTGCCGAGAGTTGCCGAGGTTGCCCGAGATTACCCGAGATTGGCCGAGATGACCGACTCTGCCCGTGCAGGTGGATTTGCCGGCCGTGAGAGAGGCTGCGGAGCGAGAGGTGGCGGAGCTGGCCGCCGAGCGGCGCCTGCTCAGCGGCGAGCAGCGGGGCTCCCTCCGGCGGCGGGCGGACACTTCCTAGACACTTTGTAGACACTTCCATTAGGCGAGCAGCTGAGCTCCCTCCGGCGGCGGGCGGACACTTCCTAGACACTTTGTAGACACTTCCATTAGGCGAGCAGCTGAGCTCCCTCCGGCGGCGGGCGGACATCTCGGCGGAGCTGGAGGAGATCGCGACGCAAAGGGAGGAGACGACGGCGGCGCAGGCGGCGGCGGATGTTAGTACCCCACACGGCCCGCCCCCCCCCCCCCCATCGAAAAAAGAATTTCGTCGGCCTCAGAAGCGTCGGCGTCCGTGGTCGGTGTCGCTCCGTGTCGAAGCGTCGCTGGCTGCCACTCCCTAGGCGGCGGCGGCGGCGGGCGAGGACTACGCGCGGGCAGCGTCGCTGTCTGAGCGTCTGGAGACGCTGGCGGCGCGGGAGGCAATCGTGTCACGCTCTGCGAGCCACTCTGTCGTGTGTGTCGGTCCGTGTCGATCGCCAATGGTTCATAGGGGGCGCTGCGCGGCGAGGAGGCGCGGGAGGAGGGGGGGTACGACCGCGCCGCCGCGAGGAAGGGGGAGCTGGTGCGGCGCGAGGAGGCGGCGTGGGCGGCGCTCGCTGGGCAGTGCCGCGCGTGCCTTGCGGCGAGGCGTGCGCTCGCGGGCGAGGCGGGCGAGGAGGAGGCGGCGAGGCTGGCGGCGGAGGAGAGGGCGGTCGAGGAGGAGGGGGAAGCGCTGCGCAAGGAGGAGGCGAGGCGGTCGACTCTGAGCGCGGAGGCGACAGCAGCGGAGGAGGCGATGAGCGCCGCCCTCGCGGACGAGACGAGGCACGACGTGGCCGACCGTGCGCGGTGGGAGGCGCGGGAGCGAGGGCTGGCGGAGGAGGTTGCGGCGCTGCGCGAGGCGCTGGATCAGAAGCTGGCGGAGCAGGCAGAGTGCGGCGTGAGCGTGGCGCGATGTGACGCCGCCATCGAGGCGGTGGAGGTTCGGCTGGCGGCGAGCGCCGGCGCCGCCGAGCTGCGCAGCAAGCTCGACGCGCTCGAGCAGGCGGGCGCTCTGTCGGCCGCGATCGCCGCGGCGCTGCAGGAGAGCAAGGCGCGCCACGAGGCGACGGCCTCCACCTTCGCCGCCAAGCAAAAGGAGCGCGCGGCGTGGGTCGGCGCGGCGGCGGCGGCGGTGCACGAGGCCGAGTCGGAGGTGGAGCGGCGGCAAGGCGCGCAGCGAGGGGCGGCGCGGCTGGTCAGCGCGTCGAGCAGCTTGGCTCTTCACCGCTCGCGAGAGCGTGAGCAGTGCGGCAGGATGCTCGACGTGTTCACAGCAGGAGGTGTGAAGAGACGCTGTTCACAGCAGGAGGTGTGAGCAGGATACTCGACGAGCTCGCCGACTGCCGCGCCGCCCAGAGGCGCCACGGCGATGCGGTCGTGCAGGGGGAGGCGGAGGCGGGGCGGCTGCAGCTGGAGGTCAAGGGGCTGCAGGACCAGCGGGCCAGGCTGGAGCTCGAGGTCAAGCTCGCATCCTCCTCGCGCAAGTTCGCCGAGGCGGCCGAGCTCTCGGCGGAGCTCAAGGCCCTACACTCACTCACACACACACACACACACACACACACACACACACACACACACACACACACACACACACACACACACACACACACACACTCATCACACACACACACACACACACACACACACACACACACCGCTCACCCACGCGCACTGGGCCTTGCACATTGAATGCCGTGGGGCTCGCGTCTTTTAGACGTTGAGTCGCGAGGGTTGCCCTGGCCCTTGCCCCACCACCTTCGTGTGTGTGTGTGTGTGTGTGTGTGTGTGTGTGTGTGTGTGTGTGTGTGTGTGTGTGTGTGTGTGTGTGTGTGTGTGTGTGTGTGTGTGTGTGTGTGTGTGTGTGTGTGTGTTGAGGAGTTGACCTTCCCTCCCCTTCCCTCAAGGCCCTGTGCGTCAAGCTCGACGGCGACGAGGACGTCGCGCTGCAGCAGCAGGTGCTCGAGCAGGTGGAGACCGAGAAGGCCTCCCTTGCGGCGGAGAGCGCTCGCGAGGCGGCGCTGCAGCGGGAGCTGCAGCAGGAGCAACGCTCGCTCGACCGTCGCCGGTTCGATTTGCTGCTCGAGCATCTCGAGGCGGTGCGCGCCGTGCTGCCAGAGGCAGAGGCGGCGCAGGCGGAGCTGCTGTCGGCGGAGCTCGAGCAGAGCGAGGCGGCACGCCACGAGCTGATGCGGCGTTGGGCGTGGGACACCAGGGGGCGGCCAAAGAGACCCGCCGGCGAGGAGAAGGAGGGCGAGGGCGAGGCGGCGGCCAAGGCGGCGGCAGCAACGCAGAAGGAGAGCAAGAAGGCGAGGGAGAGGGCCAGTGATGAGGACCGCGATGCGAGCTCGCGACCGGCTGGGTGAGGGCCCGCGGCGGGGGACTAGGGGTCTGCGCCAGGGTCCCCTGCCGGACGCAGTCTCACCAAGGGGTCCTCGACGCGAGTCGAGGAGCCCGCTCTGTTGCTGCGTCCCGAATAAGAGGAGTCCCCTGACACGCGCGCCATCACGTACAGCTACAGGTACACACCAGTCAACAACGGCATAGCATCTCAGTCCGCGGCTCAGCTTGTTTTCTGTGGCGGGGCGGGTACCGGGTAAGACGGTAGAGTGGTCCGGAGGGGTTGACAGTCGCCAGCGCAGGTGCCTTGGGACCTCTCGTGTTACGTGTATGTGGTCTGGGAATGCAATATGTCTGCTGTGTGCTGAGCTTAGAGCTACGGTAATCGGTATGCGATTGATTGATTGATGGGAAGGCGAAACACAGTCCGACCAACGTCCAACGACTGGGACACCAACGCGGTATGGGTGGACGCAGGACGGGCGATGACGGTCACACAGGAGCGACACACAGAACCACAAGACAAGACACTCAGCCAACGTTGGCTGAGTGTCTTGTCTTGTGGTTATATACGTCAGTGCGACCCTCCCGCAAGTGCTATTAGCACAAACCCAAAAGGGGGGCAGGATGGCCGATTCGTCGCTGGTTCCCACTGACTGGAGTGACGGGCTAGCCAAACCATTGAAGACGCCGTGTCGATGAGCTTCTAACTCGATCGCGTTCTCGAGATACAGCTTGAGATGTGCGAGTTGGAGTGGCCTCACGGAGTCGGCGCTGCCGCTCGGCGCTCTTCTGCTGGTTTGGCGATCCAGCGCTGCTCGTCCAGACAGAGGCTGCCTCCACTCCTGAGCTGCTCAGGCCTGGTCAAGGCCATCCACCGGCATGCTCTGGGAGCGCGGATGCACAGCAGCTCGCGCTGCTGGACCCACGGTGGCTGCCTTCGGCCACCGGCAGCGCCGGTGCGACGACATGCTGGCGGCGGTCTTCCGCAAACTACTGTCAGGCAAGTGCACGACGAGATATGACCATGGGCGCTCGCATGTGTGCTCAAGGCACCTCAGGGCTGCTGCGTGACGCGTGGCTCGGCTCCGCGAGCGCTTGTGAATTTTCTGTGATTTTTTTGTGCTAAAATAGCACTTGCAGGAGTTCGTATATGTGTTTTACTCGTGCGCTCTTGCTGTTGCTCACAGTACGTGGTCGCAATAAAACTGAACCCCGAAAGGCAGCGTGACACACCGCCGCTGGGTTGTGGATCAGGATGCCTGCATGCCTCCCAGCCACTCTATGCGTCCAACGCGGCAAAGGTTATCTCAACCTCCACCCACCCCTGGCTGGGATGGCCTATCAGCTCGACTTTCTTCTTGGTCGGCTCACCCGGTGCCAACCCCGTCAACACGATGTCCCCGTGGCCAAGCGGGTCGTCGGCCGTGAGCGTGTCAGAGTCCCACACCTCGAGTCGCAGCGGCTTGAGGTCGTCCACGTTGAGCTGCAGCGTCTCGTTCCACTCCGGGTTGAGGTCGTTGTCAATGACCTTCGTCTGCGCGCTCTTTCCGGTCGGCGAGATAATCTTGACGTACGGGTCCGACTTATCGAGCCCGAGACCCGTTGAATCGTCCGCGTTGAGCAGGTCGTGCGCCTTGAGCACGCGGACAATGGCGATCCCAGCGTGCACCTGGCCCTTGCTCGAGAAGCGATCCGAGGTCCTCGCCGCCTCGACGACCACGCCGTCGCCGCCCGCCTTGAAGGCCATCTTCTCGTACTTGGACTTGACGAAGGCCACCTTGGTCTCGAGCGGCGCGTCCGCATCGGGCTTGCTCGCGGCGGCCGCGCTGTGCGCCTCGAGCTCGGCGTTCACCACCGCGTTGCCCTTGGATAGCATGAACGCTTGCGCCTCTTCGCTCCACGCATCCATCTTGAGAGACAGCGGCTTCGAGATGTGGACGCCTAGGCCACGGTGTGCGCCTACGCACTCGTTGCACAGCACCACGCCGAGGTTCGAGGACGCCCAGGTGGGAGGCTCTTTGCTTGCGCAGTCGGCACAAGCGCTGTTGCCGCCGACCGCGAGCAGACGGTCGTAAAAGTCGCCGTTGACGGCGAGGGCGGCGGCGGCCATCTCGGCCGGGCCGGGCCTCTCTGCGCCACGCTTTGGCCTCTCATTCCTGCTGATCTCGGCAGGCGGCGGCGGCCCCGGCTGCGGCCCGGCATCTTCGTCGTCTGGCACGTCTGTCAGCCACGAGCACTGACGAAACAAGGCTAGCATCTCTAGCCCGGCAGAACCCGGCCAGCTCTTAGGCTGTCGCTGTCGCTCCCGACCTCTCCCGCCTCTCCGACCACGTCCTCGGCGCCGTTTGCGGAGCCCTGTAGAAGCGCAGGCTGCGAGGACGTACGTTTGGTGGATCGACGTTGGTGGATCGAGCACTCGTCCTGTTGATGGATCAGACGCGGACGCCTCGTTTGTCGGGGGTGGGGTGGGGGGGGGGGTGAGGGCGTTCTAACTGCCACTCACAGTGTGTGTGTGTGTGTGTGTGTGTGTGTGTGTGTGTGTGTGTGTGTGTGTGTGTGTGTGTGTGTGTGTGTGTGTGTGTGTGTGTGTGTGTGTGATAAAACTTCTGATGCCATGCATGACCTAGTAGTGTCCCCAGCTATGGGCGTGTCCACGTTGGAGCCAGGTGTGGTGTGGGCGCGAGAATAGCTCCGCCGTTCATGGAGGCAACCGATGCGAGTCGACTGGTGTGTGTCGTCGTGGGATCGTATCAAGAATACTCACTCACACACACTGCCACTCACAGGAGGTTCGGCTCAGGTGAGAATAATGCGGAAAAAAGAATTTTACAACACAAAAGAAAGTTATTTAGGGACATGCCGGTTTCGGACATCGGCGAACGATCGGAAGGGTGCCGCCTGCACACAAATGGAGTCCAGCAATGTGGGACCTCAGTCCCAGAAGCTTGGAGCTTCAGGCCGCGACCACGTGGCTAGGTGGACACTAAAGTGCCATTTTGGCGCCAAATCTTGGCGGGAAATGACACGTGTCTTGGCGGGAGTGTGGTGAGGCTGCGCTGCTCGACAGCGCTGCTGTTGAGCGCCAGCTGCTGCTTCCTTCAGCCAGACGGCCGGGCCTGCGCAGCACAACCGCTGGCCTTCCTCCTGCCCCACAGGAGCGCGCCAAGGCGCGCGTCTGGGCAAGCAGTGCGTCTCATCGCGATGCGAGAGTCGACGCTGTGACGCCGCCGCTCGCCGGCTAGAATGACAGTGGCAGCATTCGAGTACGCGTCGAGCTGTGCGTACCAGCACTTGTATGCGAGCTCATTGTGTCCCTGAGCTGCTGTGGGGTGCGTGGGCTCAGCTGCAGAGCACGTACTGGGCGGCGGTAGGGGGGTGTCCCTAAATAACTTTCGCGGGAGGAGGTATGCGAGCAGAGGCGCGTGTGCTAAATCTAGGCCGCACGTCGTGGCACTATGACGGAGGTAGACGTGCGGCCGCAGCGCGCCCGCCGCAGGCTCGGCGGTGCGCGCGTGTTGGCGAGAAAGTTGCGGGTAGAGCCATGCCCGACTTTTCGAAGACGAGCCCCACGCCACGGATGCCAGCCGTGCCTTCGCGGGAGTCGTCTCTCGAGCCGCGTCCCGTCTCGGCACTGTCCCTGAGTGCGTCCCGCCTTGGCGGCACACACTCTCGACGAGGACAGTCCTGCCTACGGGAACGTGTCGCGCGCCGGCGACGGTTGCGGCGTGGTCGTTGTCTGTACGAAGCGAAGATGGCACGACCACCGCCCTGCATCGCAGACCGGGCAAGGAGGGGCCTGCTCCCGTTCCGCGAGGAACAGGAGGTCTCCCCCCCTCCCCCGGCCTGAGCAGCTACGGGTGGAAGGCAGCCCCTTGAGTCGAGGGCGGCGCGACCATTGCCCTGACTCAAAGACCAGCTAGCTGGTCCGTCAGTGCGGATGGTCTCGCGCGGAAAAAAGAATTCGCGCACACGCCGCCCGCCTCCATGCTCTCCATCGTGCCGCAGCCAGCGCCGCACGTGGACGCGGTGTTGCGAGGCGACGAAGCGGCGGTGCGTTCGTGGCTCGAGAGAGGCGGGCGAGCAAACACCGCGCGCGAGGATGGCGAAGTTATCGGCATTACCCTGCTGATGGACGCTGCCGTTGGAGGCCACGAGCGGGTGGCTGCCTTGCTGCTGCAACATGGCGCTCGAGTCAACCTGCAGAGCAGCACCGGCCGCACCGCGCTGATGGCCGCCGCAGGCCAAGGCCACGAGCGGGTCGTCGTGCTGCTGCTTCAGCGCGGCGCGGCGATAAACACGCAGAACGGCAATGGCGACAACGCGCTGATGCTCGCCGCCGGCAACGGCCACGAGCGGGTGGTTGAGCTGCTGCTGCGAGGCGGCGCGGAGATCAACGTGCAGAGTAGCACCGGCGTCACTGCGCTGATGGGCGCCATCATCACCGGCCACGAGCGGGTGGTCGACTACCTGCTTCAGCACGGCGCGGATGCCAACCTGCAGGATAGCGACAGCTGGACCACACTGATGCACGCCGCCAGCCAAGGCCGCGAGCAGGTGGTCGAGCTGCTGCTGCGGCGCGGCGCTGAGGTCAATCTGCAGGACAGCGACGGCTGCACCGCACTGATGGCCGCCGCCCAGGGAGGCCACGAGCGAGTGGTCGAGCTGCTGCTGCAGCGCGGCGCGGAGATCAACCTGCAGAGCAGCAAAGGCCGCACCGCGCTGATGAACGCCGCCATCCCAGGCCACGAGCGTGTGGTCGAGTTGCTCATGCGGCACGGCGCTGAGATCAACTTGCAGGACGACGACGGCTTCACCGCGCTGATCGTCGCCGCCCAGGGAGGCCACGAGCGGGTGGTCGAGCTGCTGCTTCGACATCAAGGCGCGGAGATCAACCTGCAGAACAGCAAAGGCCGCACCGCGCTGATGAACGCCGCCATCCCAGGCCACGAGCGTGTGGTCGAGTTGCTCATGCGGCACGGCGCTGAGATCAACCTGCAGGACAGCAACGGCAGCTCCGCGCTGTTGGGCGCCGCCGACAGAGGCCACGAGCGGGTGGTCGACCTGCTGCTACAGCACGGCGCTGAGATCAACCTGCAGAGCAGCAGCGGCTACACCGCGCTGATGGCCGCCGCCACCATCGGCCAAGAGCGGGTGGTCGAGTTGCTGCTGCGGCGCGGCGCGGAGATCAACTTGCAGGACGACGACGGCTACACCTCGCTGATGGGCGCCGCCTACAGCGGCCACCCCGCCGTCGTGCTCCGCCTGCTTCGGGCTGGCGCAGATGCAAAGGCTCGCTCTGCAGACGGCAGGTCCGCGCTGCAGATCGCCAAGGAGGAGGCGGCCAGGGTGCAAGCTACTGCCGACGCCACTACTTCAACTAAGGACCACGACGGGTGCGTGCGCGCTCTCACAGAGCACGCAGCGGCGCTGAGGGAGGCGGAGGCGGCAGAGAAGGCGGCAGAGAAGGCGCTCGAGGCCAAGGGGCGGCGCGAGCAGCGCGAGCGGGAGGAGGCGGCGGTGGCGCGAGAGCGCGAGCAGGCGGCACGCAGGCGCGAAGCAGAGCGGGCGGCGGACGAGGCGCGGCGGGCGGCGGATGCAGCGGCACTGGAGGAGCAAAGGCGAGCGATTGCGGCGGAGGCGGAGGCGAAGCTGGCCGCTGAGCGCGCGGCAGCAGAAGAGACGCTGCGGGCGAGGGAGGCGGAGAGGCGAGCAGCAGAGGAGACGCAGCGAGAGGAGCAGCGGGCGGCCGCGGCGGAGCGCAAAGCCGCTCAGGCAGAGGCGGCGCGGCGCGAGAAGGAGGCTGCGGACAGGAGGGCGGAGGAAGAGAAGGCGAGGCGGCGCGCAAAGGCGGCGGAGGCAACAGCGGCCAAGAAGGAGGCCAAGGCGAAGAACAGCAAGGCGAAGAAGGCGCCGTCCGCCTTGAAACTCGAGGAGGAGCGGAGGGCGAAGGCTGCGGCAGAGGTTCGCGCACAGGAGGAGAGGGCGGCGCAGCTGGCTGCTGAGCAGGAGGAGGCGAGGCGGGCGGAGCGGGAGGCGGCAGAGCTTGCGGGTGCGGCGGAGCGGGCGGCGCTGCGCGAGGATGCGGAGCTGGCAGAGGCGCTGCGCCGGTCAGAGGTGGATGCGGAGGAGGCGCTGGCGCGTCGGGTGTCGCGGTGCGAGGAGGCAGTGAGCAGCGAGTCGACCGGCGGCAGCGGGGACTTGCCGCGGCGTGTCGAGCGGTTGGAGGCGAGCCTCGGCGCGGCGACCGAGGGCAGCCTCGAGGAGCGGGTCGGCGCCATCGAGCGCATGATCGAGCCAGAGGCGGGAGAGGCGGCGGAGCAGCATCTGCCAATCACCGAGCCGTTTGCTGCCGTCTCACTAGCGGACGCCGGCCTCGACACGGGGCGGCCGGCTGCCCCAGAGTCCACGATGGGGGGAGAGACGTCGTGCATCATATGCTTCGAGCGGCCGAAGTCTCACCTCGCGGTGCCGTGCAGCCACTTGTGCATTTGCGGTCCATGCGCCGAGCTGATGCGAGAGTGTCCTTATTGCCGCGAGCCAGTGATGATGTGGCTCGCCCCGCGCCCTGTGTGATTAGCTTCGATGGAACCCATCCGACGTGGTGAAAACGGAGGGGGTGGGGGGTATGGTCCTATCTTGGTCTGTCACAGCAGGCCTTTGCAGGCGGGGGGAATTTCTAACCCTTACCACACTCGCCTCGGCGTTACTCGAAGCTGCGAGCTCAGCTGTGGCCACAAGAGCGGCCACAACTCGGTAAGGCCGCCCGTTGACGAAGCCAAGCGGTGGGCAAGCGGCAAAGGCCGCAAAGTGGGCTTCTCAAAAGCACGTGCCACCTTCCGTGGCGGCGGCACGGGAATCGCGGCGACGGCGGCGAAGCACGATTCGCTCATCAAGAAGGCCCGCTGGCGCGGCACTTGGAGCACTTGGAGTGCAGTCAGTAACCGCACATCCAGGGCCGGGGAGCTTAGAAGCGCACCCAGCGGGCCGGATGAAGGCGGGAAGCGCTGCGTCCTTGCTCGCCTAAAGGACCATCAGCTCACGCGAGCGAGGAGGCGTTGGTGCGAAGGCACACACTTGATTGAGGCACACACTGGAGCGAGGCGTGCGAAGGCGGCGAAGGCACACGCAATCATGATTGTTACTGAACTCGACCATCTCGAGAAAACACGCCGATTTCGCGAGCAGGAGCTGCAGCGCAAGCAGCTCCAGTTCTTCCTCGACCTGCTCAACTCATACAATACCCAGGCGACTCTCGTCACCGGCTTCGCCTTTACGGCCTTCTCGGCTGACGCGCTGCACGACCTCCCGTATGCGACCTCCCCCATCAAGTCGACCTTCTTCGCCTCCTTCTCCGCAATCGCGATGGGCACCGCCGTCTCCGTCGTCTGCATCTCCTCGTATCTGATGCAGCGGGTCGAGCGGCTCGCGCTGACCAACTCTGTCGGCTGCGCGCTGGCCGCCGTCAGGCAGCGCATGCCCACCATATACACCTTATACATCATCAGCCTGATCGGCCTCTTTGGCGCCGCCTCCTCGCTGCTCTTCGCCATGTGTGACGACGACGACGACGTATGCAGAGACGTGGGCATCACCGTCGTCGGACTCTTCATCACATGCACCGTCCTCGCCCTCTTTGTGCTCAACCGCATCCGGACGCAGTTCGATCGGTACGGGCGCGGGAACCACTCGTGCTTCAACCTCGCAGTCGACCCCTCCTTCGAGGACACGCAGAGGCCGCGGCGGGCGGCGCCGAACCTCAAGACGGCGGGCCGTGCGGTCGAGGTGGCGCGAGAGAGGGGGCCGTCGCCGGCGAGCATCATGGCCGTGCAGTCGGTGGCCGCAGCTCGCAAAGGCCTGTCCCCCGTGAAGAGATCAGAGACGCAGCCGCTGCCAATCAGGTACGTCTTGCGGCGGGGGACGAGCGTGAGCTCGTGAGTCGATCGTGAGGGGTTAGACAGCAAGCGAGAGAGAGAAAGAGAGCAGGTGTATTCTGTGCCCGTTGGACGTTGCGGCTTCTCTCAGCTTGCGCGGTGCACTTCTTTTATTTGTAGTTTTCATGCGTAGTTTTCATGCGTACCTACCCACTAGTACGCACTAGCACGCTACCCTATCGTACCGTAAATTTGCGACACTGTCACTGAAATCACCGTCTGGCATGTGCTCGCGACCCGGAGCGCACGCATAGCCCTCTGCCTCTCGAAAACAGACAGCCCAAGGGAGGGATGGGAGGACGGCACGCCGCCGCCACACAGGGTCAACAACTCTAACACTCACACTCACAGGGTCAGGGATTTTACGCGGCCCCCGGCGATGCATCGAGATCTGCGCCTTCTCAGCGGTCGTGGAGGGGAGGATGTGGGCGGTACGTGCGGACCGCGTGGTGCTCTGCGACGGTTTGACGAGTGCGACTCCCAGCGTCGACTTTGCGACCCCACGGAGCCTCTGCTGCTCCTGGGGGGGGGGGGGGGGACTACAGACCACACCCGGCCGAACTTCAGAGTGGCGGTGCTCCTCAAATACCGCTCAAACGCCCACGATGGTGTTCAGGGAACATATGCTGATGATCCTGGCCCGATTGGTTTGCTCAGAAAGCTTCTGGGCGGTCGTTAAGGTTCGCTCCCCGCACACCGGCCCGGAGCCTGGGTACCCTAGATGCCAAGCCGCACGTGCAGGCATGGAACAACGGCTCGAGGGACGCCGTTTCCTCCGTGCTGCGCTCGTTTGGCACCGTGCGCAGCCTCGTTGTCGGGGCCTACGCGGAGGCGTCGGACGACCTGCACCAGCTGTTCGACTGTGTGGTGGAGTCGGCATCCAAGCAGCACTGGAGGCGGATCGGCGCGCCTAGCGCGAAGGAGGCGCGGTCCTGTACTTCGCTACGACGCTGCGGCGGGCGTGGGGCGTGCACTTTGCGCGCGAGTTCGCGCGGCACCGCCTCCGACGCGTGGTGTTCGTGGGGGCCCCGCGGCGACAGCCGGGCAGGCCTCTCGCGACGGCCGATGGCGCCTGGCCAGCGCTGTCGGCGGGCGAGTTTGCGGCGCACGCGCTGCGCGTAGGCGGCGCGTGGGCGGGTGGCCCGCCCGGCCGTTGGTGAGCACCGGACGCGAGGGTCGGTCGGCTCCTAACTAGCTGTATGTAGTCGCGAACTGCCGGCGTGCGTTTGATAGAGCTCACACTAGAGGCCGTCTCTCATCGCATTCGCCTTCGTGGGACCCAGCGCTGACTTCTGACTGTCGTTGCTGTTTCTCCCTTCTGACTGTCTGTGCATGTACGTCTTGGGTCCGGGGTTGTGTTTTTCTGTGAATAAGGTCGGGCCGAGCGAGGAGCCGAGCCAGCTTCTCGAGCCGAGCGAGCTGGATGGAGCCCGCCGGAGAGCCGCCGTGTGACACGTTCGAGTGCGCCGAGTACGTTGCTTGTGTCTAGTGTCTTTCCCTGTGTCCTGGTGTAACTCAGCCGTTCTATCATCGTTTCTGTTCGCGATGTGATATTCTGTTCGCAAACGGCTATCTCGGCCGTCGGCGGGGAGGCGGGGGGGACGACGCGCTGCGTTTCGTGTCGTCGCCGAAGAGATTATCATACGGTCGCGCACGCTTCCATCGCTGCCGCGCGAGTGAGCTTCCATCGCGCCGCGCGACCTCTGCGGAGGCCGTCAGCGGAACGAATGTGTGGAGGAGGCAGCGCCGTCTTGCTCGGCGATTGCTATGTAACATGTGGCGTGCTCGGGGAGGGCGGCTTCGGGAGGGTGCTCATAGTCAAGCAGAGGGCAACGGGGCGGGTGCTGGCCCTCAAGATCATGCGCAAGCGGGCGCTGGCGTCAGGCGGACCGCTCGCGGTTGAGCAGGCACTTCGGGAGCGGGAGGTCCTCATCAAGCTGGCGAGGCAGCCGCACCCGTTCATCGTGCGCCTCCACCACGCCTTCCAGGATGTGGCAAACCTCTACCTCGCGATGGACTACATCGGAGGGGGCGACATCTTCGACCTGCTGCAGCGCTACGGTCGGGTGCCGCTCTCGTATGCCGTCTTTGCGGGTGCGAGCTTATGTCTCGCGCTGGAGCACGTGCACAGCATGGGGGTTTTATACAGAGATCTCAAGCCCGAGAACGTCCTTGTCGCTATGAGCGGCCACCTCGTTCTCGCTGACTTTGGGCTGGCGAAGTGCCTTGTGTCACATGGCGATCGCACTACAACGCTGTGCGGCACCCCAGCCTACATGGCGCCAGAGATGCTGCGCGGCGAGGCATATGGCTGCGAGGTCGACTGGTGGGCCTTTGGCTGCGTGATGTACAACCTGATCGCCGGCCGCGACGCCTTTAGAGAGGACGCCATGGACAAGCTCATCTCGCGCGTCCGGCGCGGAGACTACGAGGGACACCGCCTCGACGGCGTCGAACACGCCGGCGAGCTCATTGGCGCTCTGCTGCAGACAAACATGGAGCAACGCATTGGCGCGAAAGGCCTGCGCGACCATCCGTTCTTTGCGCGCATCGACTTTGATCGCCTCGTCAGCAGGTCCCTGCGACCTCCGTGCATCCCATCTGCCGAGCTCACGGAGCTCGATACGGAGCGAGGAAAGAGCGTTCACGTCTCGCGTTCACCCGGCCGGGGCGAGCTTCCTGGGCTGGAGGCGCGCCTCGATGCCGCGTTTAGCGCGTGGAGCGTCACGGATGCGGCCGGCTCGTCGGGAGCGACGTCGCCACGGGACAGCGGCACCCACGGAGGGGGGGGGTCCTCCTCTCTGGCCGCGCCCGCCGACGAGGCATCGGAGGAGATGTGGGGCTGGGGCGCGCCCCCCGAAGACGGAACGGTGTCTCCCGAGAGGCTCTCCCCGCCCGCTCGGCGGTGGCCAGGAGGCATGGCTGTCGACCCGACACCGGCGCTCCCTCCGCCTCTCGCCGAGACGGCCGCCCCTCTCCAGCCGACGACCGACGCCTCCCGTGCAGCGCTGCGAGCGGTGTCGATACGTGCGCGGGAGGCGAGGGAGCGCTCGCTCCTGACACGAAGGTCTCGCCAACCCTCCTCCATCAAGCGCGACGGTGACCTGCCCAGCACCTGGTCCGCCGACTCTGTCGCGACCCCCGTCGACATGCAGCGAGAGCTCGCGCCCGCGCTGCGCAGATGGCGCGAGCGATTCGTGATCCTGTACAACATGGCACCGACCCGCGACCATGCGCGAGCGCAGATTGACGAGATCATTGGCGAGTTGATCCCAGACACTGCAGGTGGCATTGTCCAAGGCGGGTTGAATCACCTTACCCTGCAGAATTCGGTGTAGAGGCGGAGGCAGCGGTGGGCGAGATAATTTCTTTTTTTGCCATGGAGCGGCGGAGTGTGTTACACTGACTGAAATGCCGACTGCTCCGGGCAACGCCTCGGCCGCGCCGTCTTCGGTGCACGGCATCTCTTACGACTACTACGGCCGGCGCGTGGCGACCTGCTCCTCCGACGGGATGATCTGCGTCTACGACGAGGCGGGCCACAAGACGGGCGAGTGGCGAGCGCACAACGGCAGCTGCTTCCGCGTGGTGTGGGCCCACCCGGAGTTTGGGCCGGTGCTCGCGAGCTGCTCCTTCGACCGCAAGGTGTGCGTGTGGGAGGAGGCCTCCGACGCCGAGGACCCGGCGCCGCACCCGCGTCCGGCGGGCGGCTGGCGGCTCGCAGCCGAGCTGCAGCAGGCGCGCGACTCGCTGCACGACGTCGCGTTCGCGCCGCACGTGCACGGGCTCTGGCTGGCGAGCTGCGGCGACGACCGCCTCGTCCGCGTGTACGAGGCGCCCGACGTGATGCGCCTGAGCGAGTGGCTCGCCTCGGCCGAGTTTGAGGCGAGTGGAGAGACAAAGGCGCGCGCGGCAGAGGCGCCGGGGCAGCGCGGCGCGGCGCCGCAGTGCCTGGCGTGGAACCCGTCGCACGTCGAGCCGATGGCGCTCGCGCTCGGCTTGGCGGACGGCTCCGTCCACGTGTGGGGTGTGAGCGAGCGCGCCGGCTCGTGGGTGCGAGATTACGCCGAGATTACCCGAGATTACCCGAGATTACCCGAGCCGTGCGCCGGGCTAGAGAGCACAGCGAGCACGGGCGGGAGGGCCCTCTGTGAGCCTCGCCGCTAGACGCCTCGCCAGGCCAAGGCCGCGCCGTGCGTGACACGAGGGCGGCGCGCCTCCGCCCCCCGCGTAGGCGCGCCTCCTCGTGCTCGAGCCTCGCTCCCCCGGCCGGCCCGGCCTCGCGCCCTACCCGCTCGCTCACTCGGACTGCGTGCGCGGCCTCTCCTGGGCGCCTGACGTCGGCCGGTCGCACCACCTCCTCGCCACCGCCTCGCGGGACCGCTCCGTCAAGCTGTGGAAGCTGCGAGTCGCCGCGGCCGAGCCGGAGGCGGCGAGGGACGGCGGCGCGGCCGGAGGCGCCTCCGATCCGCGCTGGAGCGGCGAGTGCTCTGCCGAGCTCGCGCACGAGGGGCAGGTTTGGCGGGTGGAGTGGAACGCGTGCGGCTCGATGCTCGCCGTCGCGGTCGACGAGGGGAGGGTGCACGTGTACAGCCGCGACGAGGCGGGGGACTGGCAGCGCGAGCCAGGCGCCGGCTGAGCATGCGTTCAGAGTAAAGTACCACCGAGGGGCCGGCCGGCGCGGTGGAGTCTCGGTGGAGGCAGTGGCTGCACTGGCACTGGGGTGCTCGGTAGCGGAGTCGTGTGTGCTTCGGCGGCTCCTTTTACGTACGATCTCGCTCTGCGGCGGTGCAAATGACCTCAACCTCATTCTCTACACGTGTCATTCATAGAGCTGCGGGCAGCTGCTCTGACAGACTGAAACCACACCGTGCTCTCTGACAGAGGCCCCGGCCACAATAAATGTTCGGACTCGTCGGGAGCGGCACAGACGTCTTGGACATTGGAGTTCTCGAAATTGCAAAATATCGCGCGCCGTGCCCCAAGCCCATGCCCGCCGAGGGGCGAGTGCTAAGTTTCGGCTCTGTTGAGGCACGCGTCAAGGCTGCGCCGGCGTCCCTGCCGTATCAGCCGCCGAGCTGCCCGGTCTGGACTCGAGCTGTTCCTGCTCGGCCGCCGCAGCCGCCTTGGCCGCCGCCGCAGCCGCCACCGCCTCGCGCTCTGCCTCCCACCGCACGGCCTCGGCCTCCCTCGCCCGCACGCGCGCAGTAGCATGGTGCTCGCGCGCCGCGCGCTCCTCGTCGCTCTCATTGGCGAGCCTGTTGAGCCTGCGCGACTTCTGCAGCAGCATTGGCTTGAGCGTCTCCGCCTCCCCACGCGCAACCAGGTAGGACGCGTAGGAGGGCTTGCACGTCACAACCGCGCCGGCCTCGCCCTTGCCGTCTACGGAGCGACGCAGCCGGACGGCCACATCCTTGCTGCCGGCCGAGACGAAGTTGTGTCGTGGGCTGCCCGCCATCGCCTCCTCGGCAAGCTGCCGCCGCTTCTTGGCAAAGCCAGCGCGCCCCTTGAGCTTCATTAGCGCGGGCGGCGCTCTGGAGGCGGCGACGGCGTAAGGCGCGGGCGGGACGACGAAGGACAGCAGCAGCGCGGCAGCGACGAGGTGCATCAAGCAAGCTCCCTCGCACAGCACGGGACTGGGCACGGGACTGGCGCGCACTGGCACTAACACAGGTACACCACGGGAGCCGCCTAAAAGCAAGGCGCAGCTCCGTGGTCATGCATAGGCTCTCGCTAGAGCTCTCACACATTCACACCTGCTCTCCGACTGTCTGCTATAGCCGCAGCCACTCCCAGCTGCTCGGTGTGAACAGAGTTCGTACACCGAGCAGAGCTCCGCAACTCGCGAGATCCCTCGAGAGTTCACGCGGAGTCGGCTGGGGCTATACCAGACAGGCTCTCCGATGTGAAGAATGACCGCGTAAAAAAAAGCTCTCCTCACTCAGGGGGTTCACAGCTACCGAGTTCCTAGAGTCTAGCTGCCACATTCAAACCAGGACGGCGACAGTGATGGTGCTATCACGGGCATGATCAGTGGAAAGACGAAAGTGGAGCGGGGGGGGTGTTGGCCTGTACTAGGCTGTACCCATGTTTCCGGAAACCAAAAAGGAAACGAGAGGGTCCCCAGCACTTTTCGTTTCCGGAAATTTCTAGGGAAACCAGAGGGTGTTTGGTGCTCCATTCTGGCAACTCTCGAGTTTCCCTGTGTCTGAGAGCTGGTCTGGGCCAAAATCTGAGGCGAAACCGAGGAAACCGGCAAAATACCGGGTATTTTCCAGGTATACCCAGGGTTTTCCAGGTACCCGCAAAATACCCGGTATTTTGCCGAGCGAGTCGGCTGATTTTGGGCCCAAACCAGCCTCAGACTCGGCTCAGTCCTCAGAGCCCGTGAAATTGACGATTTTCGCGGAGTTTCCTCGGGAAACTAGAGAGGAAACGAGAGGGTGCTGTAGAGAAACACGGAAAGGAAACGAGACGGGGTGAGCGAGGAAACATGGGTACAGCCTAAGGGGGGTGAGCGTCAGCCAGCCACAGGTACGGGATAGTAGAGCAGGCGCTTTGTGGGTGGCGGTGGGCGGCGGCGCTGGGGGGGAATCGTTAGCTGAGCTCCTCCCTCAAGGTCAAGCTCGATCACGCATGACGCACGTTGAGTGACAACGTCGGGCGAGCTTCTGGATCAGGTTAGGTTGCCGGAGCACCCATGGCTGCACCTCCAACTCCTCCTCTGAGTCAGACACGACAATGTCAACTGCGCACTCCTCCTCCCATTCGTTGACTGCGCCCTCCTCCTCCAAATTCGCCGGCTGCGCCCTCCTCTGCGCCGCGGTCAATAAACGAGTTTGCGCGGAGCTTGAACAGAAGCGCGTGCCGCCCCCGGCAGACCTCCGAAGGGCGTAGGCGATGGCAACCTCGGGGGGTAGGGGGGGGTATCGCGGATGCATTCGCCGAAAGGTTGTGAGCAATCGAGCTGTAGCCGAGCTGTAGCCGAAGAGAGAGAGAGGCGTTGGAGAGATGTGTAGCTGAGACGGGAGACGGCGACCTCGAGGCTGCTGGTGGGAGATAATAGGCAAGGGAGATATGGGGAGATATGACCTCGAGGCTGCTGGTGGTACTCATCAGCGCGAACTCTGTCCCCAGCTAAGTCAGACGGCATCTCGCTATTGCTGACGAGGTGCAATCTCAGGGAGCGTCGATGCAGTCCGGCTCGGAGTATCCATTGAAGAAAAAAGTACGGCCGTAGAATCCGTCTGCTGAGGGGCCAACCTTGAAGGTGAACTCGAAGCCCTCGCTCGCAACGAAGCTGAAACAGGCGAACTTTGGCACCGTCCAACGGAATGGCTACATCAGAGGGGGCGGGGGGGGGGGGGTCAGGGTGCGATTCGAATGCTCGGAGGTGTTCGCAGAGAGTGGCAAGAAGCAAGACGGCGAACCTGGCCCCGCAGCCTCTCCGGGTCTTCGATATCTGGGTACACGCCAGTTGCTGGCTCGGATGAGCCGCCTGCGCAGGTAGTCACGTCCTGGACGCCGATCGGGGGGCGGTTCTGCTTGTCGGATGCGGGGGATAGCCCGTTGTCTGGGCACCGGTCGTACATCGTGCAGTCAGCCATCAAGATATCGTGTATATTCTTGGGGTTATCTTGCCCCGTGCCCATCATCAAGGCCTTGACCTCGACGCAGGTTTGGTTGCCGGTGCCGGTGTTTGTGAACTGTAGGTACTCGTCGGTGCCAATGTTAGGACACAGCCCCCGTTCAATCCCGCGCAGCGACTTGCCGTGAGTGAACCAGTCGGTGACATTGCAGGCGCGCAGCTCCTCTTGCAGCGTGTCATTCACGCCATTGTCAAAGTCAAAGATGCAGACGTGGCCCTCTGCAGGTCTATGGTCCCCACCCACTCCGTCGAGGGGCTGGGGGTCGTTCGTGCCCGGCCTAAGTTGGAGAGCGGGCCTGGCGGTGAAGGCACATGTCTGGCAGCGGTTTGCAACTCTCAATGCTGCATCTAAGGTCGCCTAGCCTGTACGCGCGTAGCGCAAACATCGTTTGGGTATTTGCAGCCATGCTGACGCTCGCCAACTCGGAGCTCTGTGGCGGGTAGGGGGTGGGGGGGGGAGGGGGGGTGGTGGGAGGTCGTATGGTGGGATGAAGCAATGGGAATGTGTCTATGCGCCTCAGGGTTGACGCGACCGTTGTCCTGCGATGTCCACGGCTTGTAACTAGACGTATTTGTCAGAGCGACGTCGAAGGGAACGCCGTTAGATCCTTCGACTGTGCCGTCAAAGAAGAGGCCGGCACCCTCGAAACGGATCTCGGGCAGCGGTGGTCCCCCATATGGACCCTGGGATAAGCCATCGCCGACACACATGCAGCCGCAACCGCAAGGGGCTTCCTGCAGTGCGTCGGGACAGTGCCGACCCACATTCGAGTGCGGCCCGACAGTGCACGTGACGTCATCGCCAGGGTAGAAGCCGAGATTGTTATAGCTCACGTTGGAGCTGCCAAAGGTGATGAGCATACCAAAGGGTATCTTACCCTCCTCGCAGTAAGAAGAGGTTGGGACCGGCGGCGGAGACAGCGGTGGCGAGGAGGGGGGCGGCGGCGATGGCGCAACCGTCTCGCAAAAGCGAAAAGTAATGGCACCGTCGTTTAGACATCGCCCATCATCCGTCATCTCGCAACGATCGCAGCCTTGCGCAGATGAGCAGGGGGCGTAACCGGGTGCGCCCACCACATCGACAGGTCCGAGCTCAAGATAGTAGCTGTGGCAGACACTGGCATCGGCGGGTGGGGCGGTCTGCTGGTAGCACCACTGCTCATTATCTGCGCCTGCGAAACCAAGCAGCCGGGTCATGTTTGCCATATCGGAGGATGGCATACAAGGAGGTGGGCTCGGTGGCGGTGATGAGGGCGGTGGCGGCAGAGGCGGCAGCAGAGGCGGGGAGGCGGGCGGCAAGCAGCCGGACACCGCTGTGCCGCTGCACTTGCTGCTGCCGTCCTTTGGCCCCCAGCACAGCCGGACCACGCCAGCCGCCTCGTCCTTCCAGGAGAAGTAGGACGAGCAGCTGCTGGCGTCCGCCTTGCTGCAGCCGGTGTCCATCAAGGTCCGCCCAACCATGTCGCCGCAGCTGGGCGGCGAGGAGGGCGGCGGCATAAGAGGCTGCGGCGACGGCGGCGGTGAGGACGGCGGTGGGGCCGATGGCGGCGGGCTGGCCGGAGGCGGCGACACGGGCGGTGGCGGCAGAGGCGGCAACAGCGGCGGGGAGGCGGGCGGCAAGCAGCCATAAGCGAGCGACCTCGTGCACTGGCTGCTGCCGTCCTCCGGGCCTCGGCACAGCCGGACCACGCCAGCCGCCTCGTCCTTCCAGGAGAAGTAGGACGAGCAGCTGCTGGCGTCCGCCTTGCTGCAGGAGGTGTCAATCAAGGTCCGCCCAACCGTGTCGCCGCAGCTGGGCGGCGAGGAGGGCGGCGGCATAAGAGGCTGCGGCGACGGCGGCGGTGAGGACGGCGGTGGGGCCGATGGCGGCGGGCTGGCCGGAGGCGGCGACACGGGCGGTGGCGGCAGAGGCGGCAACAGCGGCGGGGAGGCGGGCGGCAAGCAGCCATAAGCGAGCGACCTGGTGCACTGGCTGCTGCCGTCCTTTGGCCCCCAGCACAGCCGGACCACGCCAGCCGCCTCGTCCTTCCAGGAGAAGTAGGACGAGCAGCTGCTGGCGTCCGCCTTGCTGCAGCCGGTGTCAATCAAGGTCCGCCCAACCGTGTCGCCGCAGCTGGGCGGCGAGGAGGGCGGCGGCGTGAGAGGCTGCGGTGACGGCGGCGGTGAGGACGGCGGTGGGGCCGTTGGCGGCGGGCCGGCTGGAGGCGGCGACACTGGCGGTGGCGGCAGAGGCGGCAGCAGAGGCGGGGAGGCGGGCGGCAAGCAGCCATAAGCGAGCGACCTGGTGCACTGGCTGCTGCCGTCCTCTGGGCCTCGGCACAGCCGGACCACGCCAGCCGCCTCGTCCTTCCAGGAGAAGTAGGACGAGCAGCTGCTGGCGTCCGCCTTGCTGCAGCCGGTGTCAATCAAGGTCCGCCCAACCGTGTCGCCGCAGCTGGGCGGCGAGGAGGGCGGCGGCGTGAGAGGCTGCGGCGACGGCGGCGGTGAGGACGGCGGTGGGGCCGTTGGCGGCGGGCCGGCTGGAGGCGGCGACACTGGCGGTGGCGGCAGAGGCGGCAGCAGAGGCGGGGAGGCGGGCGGCAAGCAGCCATAAGCGAGCGACCTGGTGCACTGGCTGCTGCCGTCATTTGGCCCCCAGCACAGCCGGACCACGCCAGCCGCCTCGTCCTTCCAGGAGAAGTAGGACGAGCAGCTGCTGGCGTCCGCCTTGCTGCAGCCGGTGTCAATCAAGGTCCGCCCAACCGTGTCGCCGCAGCTGGGCGGCGAGGAGGGCGGCGGCGTGAGAGGCTGCGGCGACGGCGGCGGCGAGGACGGCGGTGGGGCCGTTGGCGGCGGGCCGGCTGGAGGCGGCGACACTGGCGGTGGCGGCAGAGGCGGCAGCAGAGGCGGGGAGGCGGGCGGCAAGCAGCCATAAGCGAGCGACCTGGTGCACTGGCTGCTGCCGTCCTCCGGGCCTCGGCACAGCCGGACCACGCCAGCCGCCTCGTCCTTCCAGGAGAAGTAGGACGAGCAGCTGCTGGCGTCCGCCTTGCTGCAGCCGGTGTCAATCAAGGTCCGCCCAACCGTGTCGCCGCAGCTGGGCGGCGAGGAGGGCGGCGGCATGAGAGGCTGCGGCGACGGCGGCGGTGAGGACGGCGGTGGGGCCGATGGCGGCGGGCCGGCTGGAGGCGGCGACACGGGCGGTGGCGGCAGCGGCGGCAACAAAGGCGGCAACAAAGGCGGTGAGGGCGGCGGCGGCGAGGGCGGCGGCGGTGAGGGCGGCGGCGGCGAGGGCGGCGGCGGCGAAGGCGGCGGCGGTGAGGGCGGTGGGTACGGCGGATATGGGGGCGATGGCGGCGCTGACGGCGGACTCGGCGACGCAGGCGGCGAGGGAGGCGAGGGTGGCGGTGGGGACGGCGGAGGAGGTGAGGGCGGCGGCGAGGGCGGCGGTGGCGAAGGCGGCGGCGGAGATGGTGGAGGCGGCGAGGGCGGCGGCGGCGAGGGCGGTGGTGAGGGCGGCGGCGGCGAGGGAGGAGGCGGCGAGGGAGGCGGGCTCGGCGGCGGCGGTAAGGGAGGCGGTGGCGACGGAGGTGGCGGTGAGGGCGGGGGCGGCGACGGCGGCGGCGAGGGCGGCGGTGGTGAGGGCCGTGGCGGGGGCGATGGGGGTGATGGCGGGGGTGATGGGGGCGGCGGCGACTCCATCTCGTCGTCGTCGTCGTCGTCGTCGTCGCGGTTGTCTGTGTTTGGGTCACTGGACGGGTTGACGCAGTTGACGTGGCAGCAGCCTTTTGGCCAACTTAGTGGATGCAGTGTTGTCTGAGCCATGCACGTCTCAGGCTCTCCAGTCTCTTCGTTTGCATAGAACTCTGCCTTGCATTCCTTGCACTCCGTGTGTAGATCCGGGTTGTCGGCAAATTCCCCGCACTGAATCTCCAAAAGATTCACGCAAGGTGTTTTTTTATTGTGGTTGTTGCCGCCGTTGGGGTCGTCGTCGTCGTCATCGATATCTGGAACAGGATAACTCCATGGAATACGCGGCGGTCTTGGTGTGCTAGGTGGTGGGGGTACCCGCCACCATGGCGGTGGAGACGGACGACTGGCTCCTGGGCTTGTCGGTGGGGCTGACGGTGAAGCGGGGCTGTGAGGAGGCCGAGGCGGCTGAGGAGCAAGCAAGTCATCATTGCAGCACCAGACACAACCATCACACCCAATCTCGCGTAGCGTGGCACAATTCATGACCATACATGCCGTTGGACAAGGTAGAGAGCTTTGCCAGTCGAGGTCACACACGTATGTAAGTTCGGCGCGAAAGGTGTGCGACATGTTTGCGCAAGCCGAAGGGTCCATAAGCTGGTGCATGCATGTCTCGTTATGGGCTTGAACCAAGGCATTGCGTAGTGACTCATCATGGCAGAGCTGTCTGCTCTCGTTCGCCTCTGTTAGGAGCTGGGCCACAACCGCGTCGACGCTGGCAGCGATGACCATGCTCATGTTGCACGTGCCATTCGTCGGTGCAGACGGGGTTGGAGTGGCCGGTGACGGTGCGCTTGGAGGCGGTGATGGCGGCGGCGGCGGCGAGGAGGGCGGCAAGCAGCCATAAGCGAGCGACCTGGTGCACTGGCTGCTGCCGTCCTTTGGCCCCCAGCACAGCCGGACCACGCCAGCCGTCTCGTCCTTCCAGGAGAAGTAGGACGAGCAGCTGCTGGCGTCCGCCTTGCTGCAGCCGGTGTCAATCAAGGTCCGCCCAACCGTGTCGCCGCAGCTGGGCGGCGAGGAGGGCGGCGGCATGAGAGGCTGCGGCGACGGCGGCGGTGAGGACGGCGGTGGGGCCGATGGCGGCGGGCCGGCCGGAGGCGGCGACACGGGCGGTGGCGGCAGAGGCGGCAACAGCGGCGGGGAGGCGGGCGGCAAGCAGCCATAAGCGAGCGACCTGGTGCACTGGCTGCTGCCGTCCTTGGGCCCCCAGCACAGCCGGACCACGCCAGCCGCCTCGTCCTTCCAGGAGAAGTAGGACGAGCAGCTGCTGGCGTCCGCCTTGCTGCAGCCGGTGTCAATCAAGGTCCGCCCAACCGTGTCGCTGCAGCTGGGCGGCGAGGATGGCGGCGGCGAGGGCGGAGAAGGCAGCGAGGGTGGCGGCGGCGGGTTGGGGAGGGGCACCACCGCGAGCGAGTTGGAGGTCATGCCCGCAACAAAGGCAAGGTTGCGCACCGTATCGAACGCGACGCCACGTGCAAAATCCATGTACGTCGTGTCGCTGACGCCACATCGCACGGAAGGGTTGGCTGGGTCTGCAACGGACACCACCGCGAGCGAATTGGAGGACAGTCCGGTCACGTAGACAAGCTCGCGCACCTCGTCGTACGCAACGCTGTGTGCAGAGTCCATAAACTGCATGTCGACGACGCCGCCAACGACGGCTGGGTTGGTCGGGTCGGAGACGTTCACCACCGCGAGCGAATCGGAGAGATAGCAGCTCACGTAGACAAGCTTGCGCGCCTGATCGTACGCTACGCCGTATGCTCCGTCCAAGGCCTGCGCGTCGCTAACGCCGCCAACGACGGCTGGGTTCGTCGGGTCGGAGACGGACACCACCGCGAGCGAGTTGGAGCCATAGCCGCCCACATAGACAAGCTCGCGCACCTCATCGTACGCCACAAGCCTCCCCTGTTGCATATATGTCGTGTTGCTGACGCCGCCAACGACGGCTGGGTTGGTCGGGTCGGAGACGTTCACCACCGCGAGCGAGTTGGAGTAACTGACACATACGTAGACAAGCTTGCGCGCCTCGTCGTACGCTACGCCAACTGGTCCGTCCAAGGACTGCGCGTCGCTAACGCCGCCAACGACGGCTGGATTCGTCGGGTCGGAGACGGACACCACCGCGAGCGAGTCGGAGAGAGAGAGAGAGAGAGAGGAGAGAGGAGAGGGTGAGGGAGTGTGCACACGTGAGGAGTGGGGAGGGTGTCTGTGGTGGGCTGTAGTCATACTACGTGGTTACAGCCACGCGCCCCTCAGGAGCTAAGGTAGAGTGGAGCGTCCCAGACGCCTCGGTGCCTCCCACCGGGTGAGACCATCCGGGTCTATCTGCCGCGCCCTCCGGGCTGAGTGGTCCCCGCGATGGCCCACGGTCCTCCGTCGCCTGGTTGAACCCCCTGCCTCCCGGTCGACCCCCAGTCCTTGTACTCGACCATTAAATAAACTCAAAGGTCCACCACAGCCACCAGCCTCCACCTCCACCGTCGAGCCGCGATCGCTGCCGCCCGCGACGCCGCCCGCCGCGTCAGATGCCCGCGACGCGCGCGTCGACTCGAGTCGGAGAGCCGCGCCGCACCAGCAGCAGGCCAGCATCTGCACCAGCAGCAGCACCACCACCACCAGCAGCAGCAGCAGAGAGAGGCGCCAATTTTGAGATATCCCGAGACAGCCCGGAGATGGCCCCGCGTTGTAGCCCCGGTGCCGGCGCCTCACATCTCAGCCTCGTACGAGGGGCCGGTTCCGCCGCGCAGTCGAGCAGCAGGAGCTCGGGCAGAACTTTGTCGACAGACAGGTTGAGCAAATTTTCGCCGAAGAAGCGGCACCGGCTGCACGCCGGGATGAACCCGGACCGATCCCATTGTTCACAACCGCCGCGGCGAGCCGCCGCGGGCCCACAGAAGGGCTGGGAGCAGCGGCACTAGACCGCGCCGCCAGCGGGGCGAGAGCACCAGCCGACAACCTGCCGACATGGCAGTTGCGATGGCGCTTTCACACACACACATCCTCACTCTAGTCGCGCGCAAAATTCTTTTCTCAACGGCGCCTGTCCCATGCCGCCGATCCACATCAAATCTCCTTTGTCGATGCCGCCGCTGCTCCACATCCTGCAGAACGTCAGTCATCCCGGCGCGCTCGAGCCTCTCCGCCGCTTCTACGACGGCCCGGCAAGCTCGTTCCGCGTCTTTATCGACGACGCTTGCGGCGCGCCCGGCCCCGACTGGCGGCGCACGTGGGCGAGCCCGCGGCAGTGGGGCCTGACCGGCGAGAAGAACTGGGCGACTAAGTACGCAGCAGCGGGCTTCCTCCCGCGCATGGTCGAGCAGAGCCCCTTTGTCACGCCCGACTGGCGTGCCGCCAGTGCCTCGCTCGTCGTGCTCTTTGCGCGCAGCTACGCCGGCGGGCCTGCCCTGATGCAGCAGCAGTGCCTGCAGCGGCTGCGGCAGAGGAGCGCCGCGTGGCGCGCGACCAACGGCTCGCGCCACTTCTTCATCTTCACCGACTCGCGCGGCCCGCGCTGCCTCGACGGCTGCCCAAAAAGCACGCCAAACAGCCTGGTTGAGTCTCCGGCTCGCCCTCTCGCCCCATATAGGCCCGTGCTGCCTCGACGGCAAGTACAAGGACGTCGGCTTCCTCAACCACCACGTCATCGGACCACACGGCGAGCCGCGCCACTGTGTTTAGCCGAGATGTAGCCACGAATGCAGCCGAGATGTGCGGAGACGTAAGCCGAGCTGTAGTTTAGCAGAGAGCACTCTCTCATCGGACCAGGGCTATATATTAGCTGCCTCGGCTATAGCTCGGCTATAGCTCGAGCTATAGCTCGGCTACGTCTCCCGGCTGCAGGAGAGCCGCCGCTGCCATCGCCAGATGACGTCGCTGCGGGAGAGAGGGGCGCCGGCAGATGGTTCTTCCGGCGCGGTCGAGGGCCAAAGCTCAGATGCTTCGACGACGCCAAGGACGTCAACATTCCGACGCCGAACATTCACTTTCCGCGCTCGCCATTCGCCCCGCCTCTCCGGGCGCTGCCGACCGGCGCCGCCGCGACGGCCGCCGGCCGCACGCTGCTCATGTTTTACGCGGGCTGGAACTATGACGTGCGCATGAAGCTGGTGCGGATGTACGGGCGCGACAGCGAAGTTCACGTGCGAAAGGAGGTGCCGCCCTCCGAGTACGTCGACCGCATGCTCTCGGCCAAGTTCTGCCCGGTGTGCGGCGGTTTCTCGCAGTGGACTCCCCGGCTGGCAGAGGCGATCTACTACGAGTGCGTCCCCGTCATCCTCTCGCCGCACATGCTGCCCCCGTGGTCGGAAATCCTCGACTGGTCCACCTTTGCCGTGCGCCTCGACCCCACCGCCGCCACACTGAAGGGCCTCAAGGCCCATCTCGCGAGCCTCGACCACGCGTCCCTCTTCCGCAACGTCCGCGCCGCCAAGCACGCGCTCACCTACCAACTCGACGGCTACACGGGCGCCGACCTGCTGCCGCTGCTGCCGTGCGAGACGCACAAGCGAGCGGCGGTGACATCATGGTGTGCCATCATCAGGCGCCGACCTGCTGCCGCTGCTGCTGTACGAGATGCACAAGCGAGCGGCGGTGTCCATACCGCCGCCGAGGGCGGTGCGCGAGCTCTCCAACAGCGTCGAGGCGGCGCGAGACTACGACGCCGGCGTTCCCAACGTGCCCTCGCAGAAGGCCCATGCGGTGAACGCCACGTCTTCGCTCCAGTTCGGGCGGGAGGCGCGGCGCTGCTCGACGTCCGCAGAAGAGATGAAGAGCGGAGTGCGCGCGCGACAGAGGACACGCGTGCCAGCAGGCGTGGCGCTGCTCGACGTCGGACGGCTACATGTGCTCCTGCAGCAAGGAGAGGGCCAGGACGGCCGGCGTACGGCCAGGTGGTGCTGGCACCCCACCGCCTATTGCGCCCCTGGGCTGTCTCCTGTCCTCCCCGTTGGCGCGGGGTGCCAAAGGCACCGGCACACAGCGGCTCGTGTCTAGCCCCCTGCCCCCCTGCCCCCACCACGTCCATGTCCATGGTGTGTGTGGAGAAGTGCACCCCAGCCCAGACCCGACCTCGCACTTGCCCGACCTCGCCGCGCAGGCACCGGCGGCGGAGCCGCACCGGAGTCCGCTTTCGCGGCGGGCTCGAGCCCGGTTCCGACCCCGCACCCCGCCGGCCCGCTCGCGGAGGAGGCGTGGAGCGAGACGGGCCACGGGCACGAGCTTCACCATTCGACGTGAATGAGGGGTCGTGCATGTTCTGAGCTCGCAGGTGCGGTGGGGCGGCGCGGGGCGGGTGGCACGCGAGCCCCGTCCTCATACAGTTAGGGAGGACATGCACAAGGACAAGGACCACTGACGGCTGATAGCGAGTTGAAGCTAGGACCCTCACTCACACCAAGATCGTGCATGCACAACATGTACATGTACATGTCCCTCACTCCCATCTCGTCTCAGAGTCTGACCGTCTTATTTGTTCATGTGATTGCGAGTTTCGCAGGTGGAGCGGCACGAGCGGCACGAGCGCGCCAGTTTGC